ATTAAGTAAAGTAGGTGTAGTTTAACCAATGCGTTATAGTACTACAGGTTAAGTACCTATTCCCGTACCAAGAAACTCTATAGTTATGCTTTTCAACTCCTCGCCTAATCTATCATCCGGGCTTAGTATAGGCGAAACGTTCCCTTCCTCAATTTCCCTAAATATGTGAAAGCCAATAATTCGGGAGGTTCAACCTTGGACCGTTTTATTGAAGCCTCCAATTCCCTTTACTACGGGACTTGAAGGTGTTCTATTTGCAAATAATCCTAAACGTTGAGAACATTGCTGTGTTATAAAATTACTTTGCGACGCACTGTTTACTAATGTACGAACGCTAAGTACGAAAGCCAAGAAGAACTGCGGTGGGTACGCGAGCAATTTCTTTAACGCTCGACAGCGAGCACAAAGTAACATCGTTCGAGTACGCGCGCGACTTTGCCAATGGAGAGGCGTCGACACGATTCGACTCCATTGAAGATCAAACGTTCGCGTTAGCTTCGTAAGGCAAACCATCTCTCACAGGTTTGCTCAATGGATGAGGCACTATATTCAAAATGCGGCATCGAGTGATGTCTGCTGTGGCACTTATCTCACTGAACTAGAATTATAATCAGAAACACGATTCTTGGTACTCAAGCAATTAAAGCACAAGTTGTTGGATTTACTATTTTATATCGTTCGCTCGGTGAGTGCCTACGGAAAATTGCGCAGTTATATAAATTACCATGTTGATTAGTATTACATAAGAAACAGGCGTTGTGTGAAAATAACATAATATGCTAGCGATTTTGCTGGCTTCGACAGTGCATCTATTCGACGGTCGGCGTACCTATATTTTTTGCTTCTTGTTTTGTATTAGAAGAACGTTTCTTGTTCTTATTTTCTTTCTTTCTTTCTTTTTTGCTTCTTGTTGCGTAATTTTAATTTGGTTTTGAACGAACGAACGAACGTACGGTGTCTGGGTCAAGCTTTTTTAATGCAATATGTAAAAACATAAAGTCCACAAGATCATTAAATTTAAGATTTTTGGGAGCGGCTACCGACGTTGCGAATCCATCCAAAATTGATAGAATCAGGCGTTACTTTGCGGAAATCCATTATAATAAAAATGTTAATTAATTTGCAACATTCCGCTAACTAAATACAATGACGTTTCTTACCTGGATTGAAAAGCACCTCCCGCCCTCCCTCAATTGCGTGCACTAACTCCGTCAGCACTAGTCTCAGCACCAATGACTGGCTGACCGCTATGTCACTTAGCGGTCAGCCGCTGTAGAGTCTACATCACCTGAGGATGCCTCGTGCAGAGGCGAAACACGTGTCGTGGTGTGTCTTACCTGGAATAGTGGTGTTGGGAGTAGTGGTGCTGGGACTTGTGGTGACGGAGTTAGTGCACGAAATTGAGGGAGGGCGGGAGGTGCTCTTCAATCCAGGTAAGACACCTCATTGTATTTAGTTAGTGGAAGGTTGTAAATTAATTAATATTTTTACCATCCAAAATTGTTCGAGATTATAAATATTTTCGGACGACATAGCCTTAAGATCTAATATTTGGTCTAAATATGAAGAAGCCAATATTCGTTTATCCTCGTATTTAATTTTCAGTGATTCGAAAATTAACAAATACCTAGTTGTCTGCAGTCGGTTTGAGACCGGCACTCACAGGTAGCGCCTTGCCACTTAGCTTGCCAATTAAATAATATAATTTTTCAACATCCGATAAAGAGAGATTATTGTGCATAGTATTCTGAAAACTAGCAATAACTAACGGCCGAGTTTTAATATCGCCATTAAATATTGAGATATCGATAGGTGGCAATCTAGGTGCGTCGCGTGAGTGTGCTTTAACTGCTGGCTGCTGAACGTCGACCTGAGCTACAGGTTGGAGCCGCCTGGCAGCTCGTTTTACACGGCATACTAAGTCTTCGAGATAAGTGATCGGTAATTCACTACATAATCGGGATCAATTTGCAGTTCAAGACTATTAATTAGATACAGGAGAAAACGAGTGGCGATTTCGGTCTATCTATAGTAATGCGCTTCCAACAATCTGCTAATGATGATGAATATCTCTAAATGTTCACATTCTGCACCCGACAACAATTGGCCCTTCGAGCCGGTTGTGAACCGGCGAACTATAGATATAAAACCACTCAACAAGGGTGATGAAGAGCATGATATTTTTTAAATTTATTCTTTTTTCATTGACATTTAACAATATCTATAAATAAGTACTTACATAGTACTAATATGAAAAAGTTCTTACCGGTTGATGTTATAGTTCATAAAAGATAGCTTGATCTCTGCGACAGCTGTCAGTAAAATCACGCCTATGAAGTCCGGAATTGCTTAGTAGTACAGACAGTACCTCTCAATGTCATATTTTATGAGCATGCATTATAGTCCTTTCGCGTTAAGAAAATAGTGAGTCATCGTTGTCCGCCGGCCTGGCCACGCCTACCAACCAATTAAAATGCAAGAAATTAGTAAGTCGAGTTCACAGTGACCAGTTGAAGTCAAAGCCGAAATCGCTCCATAATATAATAAATATCTAATAGATGAGACTGCCAAAAGTAATGGCATTACAATTCTTCGCCTACCACCTTACCATTGCAAACTTAATCCAATTGAATTGGTTTGGGCCCAAATAAATAATTATGTTGGTGCCAATAACTCCACGTTAAAAATGAGTGACATAAAAAATTATTAGATGACGCAATAGCATTAATAGCCGCTAATCGTTGGAAGAAGTGCTGCGACCACGTGATTCGCGAAGAAAATACCATGTGGAATTTGGATGACATCATGGAACTAGCAGAACAAAATTCTTTCATAATTAATATAACTGAAGAATCTAGCGATACTGATTAGTGATTTAAGTAATTTTAAGAAAATTTGTTTCCATTAAACTTAATTAAATATTGAAAAAAAAAAGAGAATTTTTACTCCATTGTGAATACACCTTTACCCTGTAGTTGCACTGATGACTCACTATTTTCTTAACGCGAACGGACTATAATTAGGTCGGCATGCCCATAAAGTATGGCATTGACAGGTACTGTCTGTACTACTAAGAAATTCAGGACTTCATAGACGTGATTTTTACTGACAGCTGTCGCAGAGATCAAGCTATCTTTTATGAACCATAGGTCAAGAGCGCCAGTACTTCACTGATATTTCGCGAGTAGAGTTCGCGAGGCTTGAAAAAATATCTATGTCAGAGATAGCCTTTATTTTTTTATAATAAATTGTATATGTACTGTAGGTAGGTAATAATATATAGTTTCTTAGAGCCTGTTCTCGCCGACGAATTGATTGCTTTGTTTGGCGAGATAATTTCTGTAGTATTATACTTAACTTTCTTTGCATAAATAAAATTAAAAAAACAATGGGTCCCCAGTTCAGTAGCTCATACGAATATTCAAAAACTGAAGGTAGCCGGGCTATGACATCGGGACGTCAAACATTTTAGTCCCCCCTGTGACCATGGGTGCTGTAAAGCATCAGAAACGTCGGGAATTGAATAAAAATTATTCTATTTCATTCTAGTACCCGGTTGACCGAGCTTTGCTCGGTATTTTTCGCTCGGTTTTTTTTAATTCGTGTGTTTTGGAAATTATATTTAGATACAAATTACATACTGATGAAATACGAATAATATTTTTTTGATCTTAGCGACATAATAGAAAAAACTGAACTGGTTATTTGAATAAAAAATCATGAGTGCAATTAGTTTAATTTAAATTTTCGTGTTTTAAAAAATACTAAAAAAGGGCACGAAAAAATAGATTTTCTCAAAAAAGAAAGGAACTTGAAAAAATAATTAAAAAAAGTCGGTCGGTCGGTCTGGGCTCGAACCATGGTATTACGATTTTGTGACCGCCCAATATACCAATTAAGCTATTTGTAATCGATAATAAACTGTCAAAATTTACCTTCTTATTCTAACGATATTGTAGCAGTTTTTCATTGCCTAAAAACACGGACAAAAAGACATTTTCTAAAAACAAATCCTAGCTAGATCGATTTATTGCCCCCGAAACTCCCTGCACACAAAATTTTATGAAAATCGTTGGAGCCGTTTCCGAGATTCCGATTATATATATATATTTTTTTTTTATATAAGAATTGCTCGTTTAAAGGTATAGGATTCTATACTGATAGACAGAACACGTTCAAATGAAGCTTGAACCATGCTCAACTAATTGACACAAACTCACGCATACATTTTTACACAGTCCACCTGATGGTTAGTGGATGCTGTGGCATATAGACATTTACATCTCTCCTCGATTAAGAATCAAAATACTCATTTCCAGTAAAAAGGGGTCCCCGGTTCTCACAGCAGCACTAAGCTAGTAATCTACGCTAGTATTCTGTGAAGCGGGTGGTTCTTCCCCGGTCGCGCCGACCTATTCTTGTTACAACCATAATATAGCTGAAGCATGATTCTGACTCTAACTGATTTTAAACAAGTAAAGTCTATAGGCGACATCATCTACTTACTATGAGGTGAGGTGGACTATGTGCCCGTTTATCATCCAAATTCTATAAAAATACATATCAATTATCTTTTTAATATCACAAATTTTACTAGGTCATTTGTCTAGTGGGGACCGTCCCACTTCGGTTACCTTGTGCGAGGTTACCACTCGAGAACCTTTCTCGCCGTCGGTTGTCAGTTCTTCGAGCTACATGGCGGGCCAATTGCCACTTTAGCTTACTATTCCGTTGGGCAATGTCGGTTACTCTGATTCTACTGTAGATATCTTCATATCTCAATTTATCAAGCAGAGAAACCCCGAAATATCTGAAAAGATATTCAGTTTTTGCCCCAAGAACCGGTATTGCATAACAGGTTCTACGATATTCAAGATCGAAACCTTATTTTGTTTTGTTAAACTTATAATTTTCCTCTTACTTGTCGGTCTAGCACTAGCACTAGTCAGTTGAACGTTTTCCAAGGGACACACGTGCTTGTTGTTATTGTCTAAGAATAATTGATCAGTTCTGTTTTAAAGGTATGGATTTGAGTGTTTTTGTGATTAAGTATTAAAATATCTATGTAAGATTTAGATAAATAACGTGTGTTAATGATGTGGAAAATTAGAAAAATTCTGTAATTTACTGTTAGAAATGTTATCCAGAGTTTAGTATACCTACATATCCGAATAAATAAATGTCAATAGCGAAGGTTGGCTGAGACTGCTTTAAGCAATAAGTTCGTCTTTTGTCCTATACATTGTGGAAGGAGTCAATAATTAAATAACACTTCTTTCTTTCATTTGCTTAGTAATGATACAATTAAAACAGTAAAAATATTTTCTTTTAAATATTTTCTTAGGAAGTATTTTTTAAAAAAATATTTTAATTTACGTATTAATATTATACGCTAAATTGCGCTGTTTTATATGAAAAATACTGATTTTTATCTATATAATTCAAAATAAATTTCTAAATACATATTATCAATTTTATAAAATTTTGTCAATTGGATTTTCAACATTAATTTCGTTAATTTTATGTATTTGAGCGTGACCACGCGAGTTCAGTACTTATTCCCTCGTCCCAAAAGTTCCCAACGTGCCTAGAGAAGTTCTAACTTCAAAAAGAAACCCGATTGCGTAAAAAATGTCTCTATGCTACTTTCACAATTAAGAATAATCTACGTATTAACACATCATTATGTTAAAATCTATCAAGCCGTTTAGGCTACGAGCGCGCCAAAGAAATAGCTTTACATATAAATATACATACACCCGAATATCCTCTTCCATCTGAGGCAGTTGAATAAAAAAAATTGTGGTCAATAGTGATACGTTTATAGCTTTTTTCAAAAACATTATTATACTATATAACAACTCAAGACGTAGTAAATGGGGCTTTTAACTACATTGTATGAAGTTAGAATGTGTTAGTCCCCACGTCCTTACGTTAGTGAAATTTAGGTGTGGCAGAAGAAGCACCAGTGTACAATAAATTCTGTAGAAATGAGGTCTTTAAGAACTATGTTAGGGCTGAATCTGAATGACAGGGTGAGAAATTGTGTGATAAGAGAAAAGTGTGGCTTTGAAGATGATGTTCTGACCAGGATCAAGAAAGGAATATTTTGCCCAGAAAGAATGACCGAAGAAGGAATGACAGCAAATTATGTTGCAGAAGTGAACGGCAGAGTCACAAAGGAACGCCCTTTTTATAGAATAAGGGTGATAAACGAGCACACAGTCCACCTGATGGTAAGTGGATGCTGTGGTCCATAGATATCTACATTTATCTTCTATTAAGAATCAAAATGCAGATGCGTTGTCAGCCCTGAGGACTGAGATTGAATGCCTCGTTTCCAGTAATAAGGGTCTCTGGTTCTCTACACTTACCATAAGAAACACAGCAGCATTAAGCTGCTATTTTACGCTGGTTCTCAGCGAGAGCGTGGTCCTTCCCCGGTCGAGCCGACACATTCGTGGTGCAACCACAATATAGCTGCAGCGTGGCTCTACCGCGTAAACAGACGAAAGTTGACGATATATTAAAAATGGTCCGATTAAGAATACCTTTTTATATGCGTAGGTCTATGAATGCAAAGGAAGCGAGAAAGATGTGTCAGGATTGCATCAAATAGAAGTCTGTAGTCTCTGCCTACCCCTCTGGGTGATAAGCGTGAGTGTTTATGATTTTTTACCACTCGTGGTAAGCTTAAATTGCTTATGACTTTATTATATTATGACTTATTTTTTATTTAATTAAGACTACAGCCTACCAAAAGTACACCAGTTTTATATCAGAGGTAAATAAAAAAAGACTCAATAAGTATTATACATTAATCTATATTAAATAAAAAAAAAACACCGTTGAACGTAGCCATGGAAGAAGCCAGAACGTATTGAGCATAGCTGTGGTTGTGTTAGCTTGCTGTTTTAACATTTTGATTTTGTTTTGAAATAATTTTGTGTTAAATTTACATTATGTAATTTACGTGGTAGAGCTGCGCTGTAGTTAGCTATAGCATGAATGGATCGGCTCAACCGAGGGAGAAGCACGCTCTCACATGATACAATACCAGCGTAAAACAGCACAATATAATTGTGTTTCATATGTTGGGTGTAAAGAACCGGTGTTGGAATGTTTTTTTATATATGTTCAGTGGCAAGTCTTTACCACGTTTATTATTTATTTTACAAAATGTGTGTGTTTTACAGTTCTTATAAAGAAATATAGTACAACACATTAACCATTTCTGAGTAAAACATCTACATTTTAGAGTAAAATTACAAAAAATATAAATTATGACATTGCATAATAATGATTATTAATTATTACCCAAAGAAAAATAAGAAAGAGAAACCTAAGAAACAATATATTTCATAATATTGCAATATTATTTATAATTTTATGTCACATTATATACATAATTGCAAAATATTATTATTTAAAATCGATTCGTCAAAAGTTTAAAGATATAGTTGCCATATACTAATAACGTACTACTAATCGTATAGATTTATTAATTAACCATTTTTCCAAATCGTTTCCAACATTTTTCCTTGGTTTGTAATTTTATGTTACAATGTATTGCGTTAAATATTTCTATGCACATTGCATAGCACTTGTTATGATAACTAGCTGTTTTTGATAATTTATCACATACTAATTTATCTGGATTTCTTAAAGGTTTAGATTTCATAATGTCTCCAGCAGTTATAAACATCTCAGGGTTATTTTTCACAAATTTTGCTGTTTCAAGGTTATATATGCAAAGAAGTGTTAGGATTTCTTAAGTTTCTAAATATTGGTTTGCATGATTCATGAGGGGTCATAATATTACAGTATTACACGTAGACATTTTTTTGCACAATGAAAGCTTTATTGATGTCTACAGAATTTCTTCATATTATCATACAGTAACTTTCCGTAATACGCCATAAGAGCTGTTGATTGTGATGCCGTCTTTTTAAGATTCCGTAATATAACAAAGCAGTTAAGTTTATTGCATACTTTTTATGTGAGTGTCCTAGATATAAAATATCAATGTCCAATCCATACGTATAAAGAGAAATTAAATTTGTTGCACTTATTTTATTTTTTCGCCATTGTATACAATATTTAGCTTTAATCCACTATTTTTTTTAATTAAAAATTGTATTAACTTGGTTTTGAATACATTTATGTGTAAATTATTATTACTGACCATTCAATTCATTACTTATTTCAAAGAATTATTAATGTCATTTACAAGTTTACCAATGTCAGGTTTTTTATATATTTTTTATTTTTACGTTTATTGCATGTCAATATCATCTGCAAATATAGTAAATAAATTATTGGTTACGTAATAGATGTTATTAAGATACAATTAAAATAAAAGTAGACCAAGTATACTGCCCTGAGGCATGCCGTTTCTGTTAATTTGGCACAGTGATCTATATGTATAGTGTAATAGTATAGTGATCTATATGTATACACTGCTCAAGTTCATTATTATAATTTAACCTTGCAATTTCTACACTTTGTGCACTATTGTGTTACAAGATATTTCTACACTTTTGTTACAAGACATGATTCTATCCAATATAATGCCTGTCCGCGAATACCTAAGTTGTCGAATTTGTTTAGTTTGTGTGTAACGAAGTCAAAGCTTTACTCATATCATCAAATATTGCTGAAGTGTGATTTTGTCATCTAAATTATTAATAACATTTTTTACAAGATGAAAATAAGCATGGGAAGTTGATTTGTTGCTTTGGATCCAAATTATTCATTTATAATTATTTCTAATTTTGAGGTGATTTTTTAAATATATTGCTTTTTCAAATATTTTGGAAAAAGTAGGCACTAAATTTATTAATAATTAATATATGACGTTTATCATATTTTTATTGGCTTTACTATAGATTTCTTTTAACGAGCTGGAAAATTGCCATTAGTAAAAGAAAGATTAATGAGGTAGGTTAATTGTGTACCAATTCTTTACCGCAAAATTTTATTAACATTTTACTACAATATGTTCGTGGATATCCACTGCGTTTGTCTCATTCAGTGACCCTATTATATTCATTATCTTGTCACAATCATAATGCTTCAAAAATACTGCAAGATAATATGCGCCTTGTGGGTTCGTCAATATGAGTAATTAAGTTATAGTTCAAAAAAAGATTGTGTTAGGATCAACGGGGTCTACTCGGACTGGTTTGACATCCATAAAGGTGTCAGACAGGGCTGTGTGGCTTCCCCGTGGTTGTTCAACCTATTTATGGACAGTTGTTTGCAAAATTTGAAAGTTGAAGAATGTGGATTAAGAATTGGTGAGTTAACCGTCAAATGCCTTTTGTACGCCGATGATCAAGTTATCCTTGCGTCATCGGCGGCCGAGTTGCAAATTATGGTTACATTAATGAACAGATCATTAAAAGAAAGGGGTATGAAAGTGAACGCAAATGAGACGAAGGTTATGGTTTTTGAAAGAGAAGAAAGTAAAACGATTTGTGAAATAAGAATAGAAGGGGAGTTGATCGAGCAAGTAGATGAGTTTGTATATTTGGGCTGCGTATTTAGCAGGGATGGGAGATATGATAAGGATATAGAACGACGAGTGAATGCGGGAAATAGAGTAAATGGGGCCCTGCACTCTATTGTGAAGAGTCAAAATGTGTCAAAAAAGGCACGTATAGCAACTCACAATGCTGTGTTGGTCCCTACTTTAACGTATGGTAGTGAAAGTTGGGTGTGGCAGCAGAAGCACGAGAGTAGAATCAACGCAGTAGAAATACGGTCGTTAAGGAGTATGTTAGGGCTGAATCTGAATGACAGGGTAAGAAATTGTGTAATAAGAGAAGAGTGTGGTTTGCAAGATGATGTTGTGACCAGGATTAAGAAAGAAATGCTTCGGTGGTTTGGTCATGTGGAAAGAATGAATGAGGAAAGAGTGACAAAGAAAATTTATGTTGCAGAAGTGAATGGCAGAGTCGGAAAGGGACGTCCTAGGCAAAATTTATCGACCAAATTGGCGATTTATTGAAAACGGGCCAAATTAGGAGTACCCTTAACCGACGAGCATGTATGCGTAGGTGTATGGATGTGAAGGAGGCGAGAGAGGTGTGCCAGGATCGTGCCAAATGGAAGTCTGTAGTCTCTGCCTACCCCTCTGGGTGACAGGCGTGAGTGTTTATGTATGTATTATGTATGTAGTTCAAAAAATATTCTTCGTGCGACTATGTTTGAGAGTATCTATATTAAGGTCTTCTGCTATAATTATTTTTTTTCTATTTTGTTCAGTCATGTGATGCAGAAACGCGTTAAACTTATGTAATAATAATTCAATGTCAGGGCTGGGTGTTCTATATAAACACATGACGACGATTTTGTGGTTTATTAGTTCAATTGCATATTTTTTAGATATTTCTAGATTTTTATATTGCAAGTTTAGCCTTACTAATATACATTCACCTCTGTTCTGTTTCCTATGGAATACGTTAAGTCTACATTATAATTATTATATTTTTCACACGCCTTTGGAATAAAGGTTTCTGATACACAAACTACGTCGTGGCGAATTTACGTAATAGTCTCCTCGAGCAGTTTTTTACTACTATAAATGTAGCTATATTTTGATGCATAAGTTTTAGTACATACTTGCTAGTGTTAGGTACGAAAAAACGTTTGTAACATCATAGTTTTGTATTTAGGAGGTATCGTAAAGTATGATGTGATTTTTGTGCAGTTTTTTTTGGGGCTTTATGAATTATTTATGTTTGAAATAGGATGTAATTTTGGTTTGTATTTTTATTGGCGTATTACGTCGTGCGATTTTTTTTGTGTGCAATGTTACAAGGGCATACTTCTCGGCGTATATTTCCTTTTAGTACTCTGGAATGTTGCATAAAACTTAAAAACTTCAGGTTACAGTAATTTGACCATGGGTGCTGGAAAGTACCCGAAACGTCGGGAATCAGAAATTAAGTAAATGAAACGCGGTAAAATCCGTAAAAGTAGTTTTAATCAATGTGTATCCATGGTTTGATTTATGTTATTTCTTGTGATATATCGTTTCCTTTTATTTGTTGAGGGTACTGCTCTCTTTAAATGTTATACTGGACTTTTGCGTATGATTCTTAGTAAGTATATTATTTTGTGTGCTTGACTTATTTACTTATTTTTTAATGGGTGGTGGAGCGACGAGCCTAAGGTTACCGAAGTCTAATTCCCCGGTCGAACCTTAAACCTATTACGCGAGATATCAACCAAAGTGGACTGTTTAAGCGAAATGCTTCTTCGTTTACCCAAAATGGCGACTATAGCACGCAGTTCCCATACAATGCACTCGCTCTTCCCTAAAACGAACTATTATTTGCCAAATCTATGAAAGGAATCCTGCTTGATTAGGAGAAAATGAAAATTGGAGCGGATTAACTATTAAACACAATTATATCAAGCAGGAACTAGTAGGAATGTTCACTCACCGGGGTGTTGCTTCTATGCGGCTTGGGCACTATGTTATGTTGCTGCGCTGCGACTTCTGGAAGACACTCTGGGTAGACTCTCTGGGGCCCAGAGATGCGTCGGGAGAGAGGCGGTGTGGTTCCAACGACGAGCGAGGCGGGAAGAGAGCGGTTGTGGTTCCAACGACGAGCGCGGCGGGAAGAGAGGCGGTGTGGTTCCAACGA